GCAACTATTATGAATGTACTAATAATTGACATCATATATATTTGATAGAAACTAAGTGATCTTGTTTATAAAATTATAGATCTTTCACTGCTATTTTTGTTTGTTGATTCGATTCTACCTTTCTGAATTCATTTTTTCCTGTTAAAATAAAACTCCTTTTTATCGACCACTCCTTTCTTGTTTTATAGTTATACTTTTACCACAAATTTCTACGGCTACTTGTATTGTTTTCTGTTGTGTCTTACAGTTAAATAAGTCCTTCTCTATTGCCTCGAAAAGTATAGCAGTGGTAGCATATATGACACTCCAAAAAGGTGCTTTTACTAGCAAATCAGGCAAAGGAATTGGACTAAGCACATGTTTTCTGTTGCAGTCATTTTCACTCTTCATCGTGCGTTCCTGTGCCATTTCTTTTCTGAAATCATGTGGAGAAGAGTCTCCTAAATATGACACTTCCACTTTTGCAAATGAGCTAAGGGACATTGAGCAACTTGTGCTTCTGATTATTTCTGTTTGCTCTTTTTCTACTTAGTTTAACATCTATTGCTATCCTTTCTGTTGGCATAACTTCAATGTTTACAGATTCAAATGCTTGGTCAATATTAGAAGAATTTGTAGCAAACACTTTGTACTTTCTCCTATTGTGGCAGTGTTATTTTGACAATTGTGAAATTCCTAATGTAGATAAGGAATGTTGATTTAGATTATTTGAAGAATGCAAAGTTCAAGTTGAGCTTGTAGCTTGAGACAGGTTAAGGCTTCCATATGTTCTATAAAATGCTTAAATTTTTTTTTGCTAATTTAACATTCAGTTATATTTAATATAGTCTTAAATGAGAATGTGATAGTAGTACTAACTACTAAATGTGATTTTTTGTTGCCAGAAGTAGTTGTGTAATATTCTTTCCAGTCATAAGCAATTACATTTTTTTATGCTCATATTAAGTTCAAACTCATTTACCAACGTGATCAATTCAGTTTTACTCAGTATCTACCTTACTACTTTCTTCATCCTTAGTTTTTTTATTTTTACATCTGCGCTACTTACGTTGTTTTCAAAATAGAGTGTACACCTGGTTAGTCAATTTCTTCTTAGGCATAATGTTTTAACTACACATTAAAGTGATACTCTTCTAGATCTTAAGATATGCACATTTAGTATTCCAGAGAGCTACTTTAAGGAGTTTTGTGCTTTAGATTCTGTTGATCATGTGTAAAAGTCTTATGTACTTGGGCTATGTGAATCAGATGAGAGGATAAAGGCTACTTAGAGTGGTTCATTTGACTGTTGATTTCTATTTTATCTTTCTTAGTTTTTTTCATAACTAATATATAACATCTCTTATCTTTTACCTAAATGCAGCTGTTATAACTCTTTCCAAAGAGGATATAATGAGGGATAAGGTATGTGTCTTTGTCAGCAAGGCATAATGGTGTCATCAACTTTTCCATGTTGGTTTGGTAGATCTTTCCAACGGACTATATTTTCGATTCGGCATAGACTAATTGGCATGTGTATTGCTTGAAAAAAATATTTCTCTTTTTGGATCTATGGTATTTTCATTATATCTAAGATCATGCAAAAGAGCTTTCTGATAGATTTTTATCCTTGCAGTGCAATTGGACTACAATATAGTCTCTTTGGTATTCATGAAATTATTTGACGCTTGACACAGGTTATTTGCTAAAACTATTTGGAGGTATTATACTAGCCCTGCAGAACTCTTTTATATAACCTTTTGTCAATATGATTCTTTTAGTGTTCAGCTATGTCTATAGTGCAAAATATTGTTGAGCTGATTATGAGACTTGCACCTAATGTGCTTCATGATCTACAAGTGTTTTCATCACAACTCGATTCCTAAATTATAGTTTATTTTATTATTTACTGAAGTCCTGTTGTTATATGGTTTCCGCATATTATGACATCTTGTTCATTAACAACCTTTCCTATGTGTTGGATTCACTTGCACTTAATGTTAAGTGTCTGTGTTTTAGCCTGCAAAACAGTTGTCTCTGATATTTACATCAGATAGCCATATTATTCTTCTGTCCTTATCATTCTATAGTTGGAACAATAGAAGTTACTTGACTAATCCTTGTTTTCCTAATATCTGGTAATAATTGTAGGGTTCATTTACGCACAATAGACAGTTGGACTGCCTAATGTCAGCGAAGCTCAGGAAGATCAACAAACTATTCTGCTCCTCATGCTATCATAAAAAGGAGAAATAATAGTTCAGTCCTTTTCACAAGTAGATATCTCTATCTACCTTTTTCCAGTTTTGCCTGATTGCATTACTAGAAAATTAAATATGGGCAACTTCACTTGATATGCAATTCATTTTCCTTAGTATAAAATGTGTTTATGTAAGATGGTGTTTTTTACTTTTAAGAATAGACAAAAAACCAGTAGTTGAAACAAGCTTTGGTTGGGCCCAGGCAAAGCCCGGGCTAACCTTACTAGTATTCTTACAATATGCAAGCTCTACACGACAATGCTGGTATGAAAATTCACTTTCTGACAATTGTCATGACATTATCATTACCACATAATAATTCTAGAATTATTATTACTGCACAAATAATTCTGTATGACTAAAATGTCAATCAAACGAGCCCACATGTGTTCAGCAGTCGCTGTACCATTAACTACTTGAAATTTCCAATTATATCTCTACACCGAAGTTCATATCAATAAGTACAACGATAATAACAAATTCAGTATAATGTCGTAAGTGAATTCTGAAAACTTTCATATTGATACGTAAAAAAAAAAAAAAAAAACTTGTATATGTAGGTGTGTCTATATATAGCTAGCATGCGGATGCGCGCTCAGCCAAACTTAATAGCTTTGATCCAAATCACATATTTATTTTAAGAAATTCATTGAANAAAAAAAAAAAAAAAAAGACTTGTATATGTAGGTGTGTCTATATATAGCTAGCATGCGGATGCGCGCTCAGCCAAACTTAATAGCTTTGATCCAAATCACATATTTATTTTAAGAAATTCATTGAATACATACAATTAATAATTTAAAACTCAATGGAGTAACTTAAACGTACTAAAATCTCAAACTCACAAGTCTCAAATCCGGACTCCATCTCTGTATATGAGTATACACATTACTTTCCAGAAGTAGTAGTTCTCGTTTTTTCTTCGTCAATTTCTTTTGTTTGGGTTCTTCCTACGGTGGTCAATTATTAGGCGAAGATCCAATTTTGTTAGTGATAATATTTAGTGCTTGTTATAAATATATCATATTATAAATATTTATTTAGTACTCTATTATAAATAAGCTTTTTGAAAAAGCTAATTCATATGAGATTCCGCGATAAATATGTTTATCTATTTGGTACTTTACTAGAAATAAACCTCCTAACGAGTTTATTATTTCGGTACTCCATTGTTAATAAATATTACCTTAGGTAAAAGATTATTTATATCTGGTACAATAACAATTTGCAAGTACCTTGCAGTAGCAGTTAACACAGCAACTTACAATAGCAATTTATGTAGCATAATAGCAACTTACACAACAACTTCCTTTCTTCTATAAATAGAGAAGATTTTAGTTCATTATCTATATCAGTTTAAAGTTGAATAATATATCAGTTTCTCTCAATATTTTTTTTTATTTTACGGTCTTCATTTTATAAGAGTGCCGGCAATATTTCATTAGTCACATTATTACACCATCTGAACAAATTAAAATGGGTAAAAAATCAGATTTATGAGTCAAAGTACATTAATTATATTCCCAGAAATCTGGAAATTTACCTAACAATAAGTAAAGGGGGGAAAAATGGAGAAAAAAAAAATAATACTAAGTCAATCGGATTCTGACTTTGGATCTATAACCGGGTCAGCGTTTAGATCCAAACCCGCATTATCCTCCACTTTTTTTTCCTCCTTCTTAACGCCGTCAACCTCTTTAAAATCTTCCGTCCGGAAAGCCAAATTCCACGGCGGCGACGCCACCGTCAGCTTTCTCCTAGCGCCACCGCTGTCGGCGTTACCCTTCTCGAAATACTTAACCGCCACACGTATTCTTTTCAGGATAGCATAGAACTCCTCCACTTCATCGTCCTCCACCGCCTCCGTACTCTTTCCGTCATTTTTCTCCGTTTTTATTTGCTTTTTTACTTCAATTTCTCCTTCCTGTAAACATTTCCGCTTTTGTACCTCCATAATTGTTGAGCTTAATCTTGATTTTCCGGTGAAGGTAATTAAAGTAGAAGAAAAAAGAATGGGGGAGAAATGAGTAGGCAATTTCTGATTTTTGGAATTGGTTTACGTTTCAGTTATATAATAGTGAATTTTGTCCGAGTTGTCAAAATGATAACGCTGATGATGTAATTATGATGTCGTAAGCATAGTGATTTGTGCCAATTTACCCACGAATGTTACATGAGTATTAAATAATACTCCTACTAGTATTAGTACATCAAAAAGAATGATCTACACAGTAAAATTTAATATGTTAGTGTTAATATCATCTTTACAATCAAACATTAAAAATATTTTAAGACTCTAATAAAACTTTCAATCCATCTCCTAGTAAATGTTCTATAAAAAATAATGATACTATACAATTTGTTTGATATGAATGTTCCACGAAAAATAATGATGTTATATAATTTGCTTGATATGAAACATGTGCTTAAGAGAATATTTTTGTAGCAATTTTTCATGATATATTGCAGTGCACTTTTCAAAACTTATCCTATGTATTGAGTCAATGATGAAGGAATATGAATTATGTCAAACATTAGCTTATTCAGAATCAAAATGTATGACAAAAAGTGATTTCCTGCCAAGGATCTCCCTTTATTATTGTTTGGCATTTGTGGTAATTGAAACTTTTTACTCTTTCTACCATTCCACAGACTTTGTCTATTAGCCTAACACTGTCTAAAGCCAAAGTTGAGGCAGAAAAGGGACAGGTCAATTGCGGAGAGCTGATAAATTTAGCTATTCAAACCATAGATGAAGCCAGTGGAAGGGTTGGTTATGCTGAGGTGAGAAATTAAACAATAATAATATATTTCATATGGATATAAACAATAGAATACCAACTGGGAACTCAATTTGTTCCCAATATCAAAAATTGATGGAACCCCTGTAATTTTCAGTTTCAATATATGCATGATGGTCTTAATTTTCAGATTGTTTGGTCCAACCATAAAGTTTTTCTTAACATACAATCTCATTTCATGTATTTTTGTTTTGAAAATATGCATAACAACTCTTCCAATAGCTGCATGAATTCGATCTCCCTAAAATAAAAAATGTGAAAAGAAGTTTAAGTTAGTAAGGCGCATAAGTTGAAGAAAATACATCACAACTCAAAAAAAAAACATGTAAAAGAGTATGCACCTTTTCATCTTGAATAATTAATTCAATTGAATTAGAATTTTCTAGTTTCTCGTGGTCTGGAATATGCCATAATCTAACAACACGAACCTTCAAATTCCAACATATTTTGGACATTGATATTTCGCTAAGATAGTTATAGTTTGGAGCCAAACTTTGCAGAAGTTTGTGTGGAAGCTAAACCCTAAGCAATGTAGAGAAGTCAACCCTAAAAAAAGTTGCTTAAATAAAGATTTCTAAGGAAAGACTATCATAGTAAACCAATTTTTATGTATATGAAATCTTAATATTTAAAAAAGGCATGTGTAAATCAATTTGTAAGTGTGAGTTTTGAAGAAATGATACGAATCTTTCATTTTTTAGCTTTTGGCATTTTTTTAATTTTCAACGCTTTTTTTGTGGTTAATTAAAACTTGTTAACCACCAAACCTTAATTTTTTTTTTGTACTTTTCCTTTGTCTTCTTGTTCGTTTTTTTAATACTATTTCCTTTAATATAATATAAATGTAAGATACAAAATATTTATTTAATTATTTCATTCTTAAAAAAGAATCCCTACCATAACTGAATTATACACAAAATATAATTAAATATACCTATAATAATGTATATTGTTCGCAAATAAGGTCAGATACAAAGCTTGTACTAAATATAGAATTATTATTTCAACTTAAAGTTAATTTGTAAGATACAAAACGAAATTTTAATTGATTCTTTTTCACTCATTGTGTATGTCCAACATATTCTCAAAAGAGAACATTTTTAGTTTAAAAAAGAATAAATTATACACAAAATTTAATTAAAAATACTTATAGTAATGTATATGATACCTATATTAATGTATATTGTTCGCAAATAAGGTCAGATACAAAGTTTGTACTAAATATAGAATTATTATTTCAACTTAAAATTAATGTGTAAGATACAAAAAAAAAAAATTTAATTGATTCTTTCTCAAAAAAGGATACCTATCATAACTGAATTATACACAAATTTAAGTAAAGATACCTATAACTATAATATAGTTGCTTGCTTAATGAAAATTGCATCTCTCTTTGTGTACGTCCAACATATTCTCAAAAGAGAACATTTTTAGTTTAAAAAATAATAAATTATATCCAAAATTTAATTAAAAATACTTATAGTAATGTATATGATACCTATATTAATATATGTTGTTCGCAAATAAGGTCAGATACAAAGCTTGTACTAAATATAAAATTATTATTTCAACTTAATATTAATGTGTAAGATACAAAACAAAATTTTAGTTGATTCTTTCTCAAAAAAGAATGTCTACCATAACTGAATTATACACAAATTTAAGTAAAGATACCTATAACTATAATATATTTGTTTGCTTAATGAAAGTTGTATCCCTCTTTGTGTACTTCAAACAGATTCTCAAAAAGAGAACATTTTTAGTTTAAATATTCAAATAATTGGCTTTGATTTATTAAAGAATGAAATTCAATTTACAGAAAATCTTCGACTACTACTTTCATTAAATATTTTTTCATTTATAATCCAAATTTTTTTTGTTGTCTTAAAATTGCCAAGTAGCTTCATTTTAGCTTGCAACTTGACTTAACCACATTGCAAACTACTCTCCTTTTAATATAATATAGATTTTCTTATACTAGAGTATTATTTTAAGGAAATAAAAACATATCTGGCAAAAAAGTTAAATAAATAAATAAAAAGGTCTGTATCTACATATCTGTAATACTCGTTGTCGTTGGCTCGTGGGATGTACCGCTTTAGCCGGAAATTCAACGGTGCAATAGAAAAAGCACTGATCCAGGATTTAAATTTTAAAGATTTTAATATTAATTTATTTTATTTTAAAATTTATAGATTTATTTTTATTTATTTATTTTGTAATTTTATATTTAAAATTTTATTCCGCGTGAAAAATTATGTGTTCAATTGAATCTGTCGACATAACATCACATCCGCCCCTGAAAATAAGAACTTCTGCTGAAAACAATCTCTTTATCTTTTACCAGGTAGGAGTAATGTATGCGTATAAACTATCCTCTCAAACCCCATTTTATGGGATTAAACTGGGTTTGTTGTTGCTGTTTTATCAGAAAAT